AAAAAAAAAAAAAAAAAAAAAAAAAAATTGTTTTTTTGAGGGGGGGGGGGGGGAAAGGTTGCACATCATTATATGTGTCAGTACCCACTCTTGCACCATGTCATGCTGAAATCAACAAAGGTAGTCAGTCATTTAAGAGAGAAAAGAAAAAAGCTAACGTTTGTACAAAGGGTCAGGAACAGTTTCTAGAGTAGCAGGAATTCAGGAGAACTTTGTCAATGTTGGCCTATAAGTTCTTTCACGGAGATTTTAATTGAGTTTGGGGAAAATGGCAGCAAATCTTAGAGAGTTTTGGCTGCTTCCTCTCTCTCATATGAAAAGCTTGGAAGACCTATTGATAAGGTTTTGATTGATTGATTGGTCGATTTATGTATTTATTATCTATTACATTTATATGCCCCCTGATTCCCAACAACTCTGAATGGTTTCTTCCCTGCCTTACTAGATGCTCACAGGAAATCTCAGAAGTGTAGGACTATTGCCAATTTCTAACAATATTTTAATTATATATAGATATATGTATATGTATATGTGTGTGTGTGTATATATAATATTGTTATATATATACACATACATACACACACATACGTACATACATACCCATGATGTTGTGAAAAAGCAGGTACCTTGTGGATATTGTAGTAATATTATGCAATAGTTAACAAAACTTTACAATAGCCTCCTGAAAAAATTGCCAGCCACCTGAAAAGGTAAGAGCTGCTTGCTTTATAACTCTACATTTTTTATGCAAATTACATCCAGTTCTGCTGAAAAACAGCAACCACAAAATTAGTTGCAGTGGTCGTGTTTTGCAGTAAAAAACAAAAAATGGTCTTGTGGCATCTGAAGACTAACAATGTAATTATCAGATATGTTTTGCGGACCACCATGCAATTTATCAGAGGCACAGAGTATAGTCCTGGGAAGGAGGCATATACTGTCCATGCAGAGGGAGGGAGGGAGGGAGGGAGAGAGAGAGAATGAGAGAACGAGAACGTAGCTCTTAGTGGAGAAAGAGGGAAGAGACGAAAAATGGTAAAGGAATGGGAAGAGACAATTGCTTTAGAAGCAACTCTGTGGTACAATTTTGTGTTGAATATCTATTTAACTTACATAGTGTAACAAGAAATCTTGGCTTTATTCAACCCATAAGAAATACATTTACTTTGGCTGAGGTATTTTTCTTATGTTAATCAGTGGGAGAATGAAGATATATTTGCTTGGAGCTTCCAGATCCAAGCAACAAAACTGCTTCTCCCTCCCTAGCTCCATCCACTGCCTCTTTGCCCACCACCCTTCCCCACCATGTTCATGAATCATTTGCTGCTGCTGTATGGTAGAGTGGGGAGGAGGTAAAATAAAATGGCCTTTTTACGTTGTGGTCCTATGCGCAGTTACATGGAGGTACACTTATGTCAGTCCTGGATATTAAACAAAATTGGGGAGATTGGCCAGGTAGATGGATTTGACAGCAGATCACCACCACCACCACCACCACCACCGCCACCATCATCATCATCATCATCATCATCATCATCATCATCATCATCATCATCATCACAGTCTCAGTTCTTATTATGGCCTCTAGCAGCATAGAATAGCCTCAGAAGGACTTTTCTTCTTCCTCCAAAATGCTGTCTTGTTCCAGGAAGCTCACTAGAAATATTCTGTCTGAAGAAGGTATATTTCTGAACAACTTCAAAGTATGGGGATTTGTGTACTACTTTTCAGCTGTCAAGTAAGTTCCTATTCTGGATCAATGAAGCATTGCCTCTTTTATTGTCTCCATGTGTCTTTCTTGCTAAGTTGATTTCCCATATATATACTGGGATGAATTGGGGTTGGAGGAGGGGAGTAGAACAGGAAATAGCACTCTACATTATCCAAATTTATCCCCCTTCCCTGGCTTTGAGTTGGCTTTTCCTCTTCTCCTCCTCCAGGCTAGATGTGTTTATTGTTTATCTGTTAGATGTGTATCCTCTGAGTTCAAAGGGGATCTTATATGGGGATTTCCTTTCATTTTATTCTCACAGCCATAACCTGTAAGGTAGGTTGGGCTGAGAGACAATGACTCTCCCATAGTCACCCAGTGAGTCTCCCTGACTGAGCATGAACTTGAGTCTTAGTCTCTCCAGTCTTAGTCCAACACTAGCTGAATGATATAGAAGCCCACCCTTCACCAGGAAAATGAGTACCTTTTCTACCTAAGATATCAATCCTTTTATTTCAGTCATCAGGAGGAGAGTAAGAATGGGATTTCAACAACTGACAATAATTTTACAAACCAAGATGAGAAAATCAATGATGTCAGTACTGTTTACCACTCAGCGTGCCTTAGATGTGATTGTCATGTATTGGTGTTTACTTAATCACCATGTCATTTCTCATTATGTACTTAACTGAGTGCTGTGTTATTTAGTTGTGGACTGATTATCTCCTATGTCTAACCACATCTTCTCTTACTCTTAGTGCTCCTAGAAGTGAAAATGGATTCATTCTGTCTGGCAAACCAGTTTGGACACATAGCAAAGATCTGAGGAGAAAGCATGGCCATTTTCATCAGAGGGTTTCATGCCTATCTAGGGGAGTCCCTTGTTTTCCTAAGAAATGTGGGATAGTACCCAATTCCCCAGGTAACAGATGGCTTGCTATACAGGTCTATGGAAGAAAACACCACAGATATTGGAGGAGGAGGGACAGATGGTGAAATGGCACATGAACAGAGGCAGAAAAATAGGTTTTTTCTTTTAGTTTCCTCCTTCTAAGCATAAAAGCCTGAACTTTGACATCAGACTCTTGTAGTACACCTTGTTCTCCTGAAATGCTCAAAGTAAGGGAAAGGATGCTTTGTACTGATTCAGCTTTTGATGGCAAAAGTGAGCTCTAAATAGCTCATCTTTTGTCAGAAGGAAATAAAATAGGTCAACAAGTGACTCAAGGCTGGTGTTGGAATAGGTCTTTAGCTGCCCAGAATATTTTCTTCACCAACTTCTGATTTTTGCTAATTTCAGTTATGAAGGGAAGGCTGGAAGTGTCTAGCCTGACCCAGAAGGTACAGGGGCACCAAAGGTTAGTAAGGAAGATCACCAAATAGGCTAGCAGCTATTAAAACAATGCTTCATTTTCATTATGAAATAATCAAATGTGTTTTCAAAGTGGCAGAAGGGGAGACTGGAGGAAGGAAAAACATTAAATGTTTCCTCAGGGATTTAGGGTATCAAACTAGTCTAGTGGTATACTGTAACTGCAACTTTTCAGAAACTTAAATGGGGAGGAGGAAAACAGACATTAGGGTTAGGGTTAGGGTTAGGTTGCTAAAAAAGAAACTTCCTGTATGATACTTCCAACAGGCTGATGTTAATTAGGTGTTAACTCAGGGAGCATTGTCAAGGTGCCAACCATCCCTAGGGTTGATTGTATCTTTCCTCACCCCACACAAGTTGGGAGAGCCAAGTCTTCAATTCCCTCCAAAAAATTGGGAGGGTAGGGGCCTGCCTCACCTGTGGGGAGTGTATTCCATAGGGTGGGGCCAGTGGCATATTATTATATATTAGCAAGCAGCCAGGGTTACTCACCCCTTTTTTTACACTTTTACACAGCAGGAATGAACAACTTTTCTTGAAGTGACGGATGCCCTGGGCCTTTGAAGAGCATGAGGGGACTTCATTCCCAAGTAGCATACAGAGTTTGGGCAAAGAAGTGGATGGGAGCAGGACAAAAATGATGTTTGATTTAATGATAATGTAATTAAATGAAATTAATTAAAAACAAGTAGTATAATCAGCTCCCCCACACATTCAATATTTTCTCCCTTCTGTCACATTAAAAAGTATAATTCAATAGCAACATTTGGAAGGGCTCTAGGGAAAGGGATGGAGGTTGCACCTCCCTGCTTTAAATAAATTAAGGAGCTCATGTGCCAAGCAGGATGTAGGGACAATCTGGCATGATTTTTCTTTTCTTCTAATGAAACAACCCCCATATTAAAATGGCTGTTGCATGTTGTAACAATTGTTACCATGCCCCTGTGGGAAATTGTGGGGAGGCTGGGAAAGTAATGGGAAAGAAGACATAGACAATGAAGAGACTGTAGGTTATCTCTCTGGCAGCTTATCTCTTAAGCAGCAACTCAGCCCACATGGCAAGGAACTTGGGAAGAAGCAATTCAAATCATTCAGGGGTTTTGCCTGAATGAACTCATGAGGGTTGGAAATTCCTCTTGCAGTTTCCAAGACTCTGCATTTACCCCAAGACTAGCATCAAAGAGACCTTCCTGAAGTCAATGTACTGTAACTCTTGCTTCCTTGATATTGCCTAGTTGTGTGGGGCTTGACAGCCCCCCTTTCAATGCACAGCTTGCCAGGTTTTTAAAAACCACTTTTCAAAGTTGTCTCCAAGCCAAACTGCATGTAGGTAATATACATTTTTATATTCCTTTTCTTCCTAAAGAAGCCCAGAACTGTTGTTCAATAAATAATCTTCAATAAAAGAAATAAATAAAATAATCCAGTTAAGGTAAAGGGGCATAATTTGAGGCCCAGGGCTGGTTGTGGCCTATAAAAGCCTTGAGTATAGCCTCCGACCTCCTAAAACTTAACCCTAAGTTTGTAAGGTGACTGAAGGGAAATGATTAAATACAGTATGCAATTGAAGATTAACTGTAATAGTTATATTTAATTAATTGTATTGAATTTAAATATAAATGAAATCAAACATAGTGTTTCCCTGGTGCTACTCACTTGTTTCCCCTAGTTCTGCCTGTACCTGGAAGTACAGTCTCCTGCCATGATGGTCAATGCCAAACAAAGCCCCAAGTCATTTTTGAGTGTGTCCTATAACATGACACACAAAAGACACATGTTGTGTTGACTCAACCATTATATAACCGTGACTGAGAGGCTCCTCCTTAAGTTTATCCCATTAAGTTATCCTCACAAATGGCAGTGTTTTCTGCAATGTTTTCAAGCAGCAAATAAAACTTATCTGAAATATATAGTATACTGTAAACAAAGTTATAGGAAAAAAAAGTCCTGCCCAGAAAGATTTTTTTAAAAAAAATCTAAGACATGGTGGGGTAGAGCATTTTGAAACATTTAGGTAGAGATTCACAGGAATTTAATTGAAATGAAATGCAGTAATCCATGCACAGTTGAATAAGCCATATATTTGAATATTAACAAAGCTTCTGAATGCCTAAAAAGAAATTGAGATGTTAGGTATTAATCCACGACTAGTGAGAAGCAGAAAAGATGCAAAGAGAATGAATGGAACCTTACTTATAGATTATTGTATGCAACACAGATGGACTGAAAATATACATGAGAAATCCTCTTCTGCAATGCTGCAATCCTTCCTCTAAAAGCTATATGACTCTCCATGCTCAAATAGTGATTTTCATTGGAAAGAAGGTGAAGAAATGTCTACACTAGCTGGACATACCATGTCTACTGAAAAAAATAGAAAAAGATATGGTTTACTGGGTCTAATCTAGGGCTCTAACTCTGAGACTCAGACTTCTGACATGAGGGAAAAGACCATAATTTTAAGATATTATCAATCATATTTTTTTTTATATTCATGCATTTTCCCCTTTATTGAGACACCTATTGCCCAGAATGTTTGAAATTTGCTGAACAGATCAGAAGCCATATTAATACAGAATAAGTAGTAAAAATGGTCTTGTTCTCATGTCATGCTTAACTGGATCAAGAAGCATTTAATATGTCAAAAGAATACCCTAACCATAAACCTGACTCTGATATCTAACTCAGAGGAGCACAGTTTTCATCCCAAACAGCCCAGGTCAGCCATGCTGTGTTGTGAAAATTGATGACGTTAATAATGGACTGCCCTTTTGCAGTTCCAAGACAGTAACAAAGTCTTAGAGTGGCACTGTGAAAGTGGGGTTTCCCAAGGAACTCCATCTCTTTTTTATGTTTTACCATATATATAGCAGAATGTGTTGGGGCTTGGTAACTCCCACCTTAAAAAAATATATTTGGGGGGAGGGGACAGGAAGTGACAGTTTGCCAGATTCTTTTGCAGCTGCTGAGAGAACTCAAAAATGGCCCCTACATGTCTGAATCACTGGTGATCATGCACTGTTGGCAAACAGGGTAAGTTACGGTCCTATGAGAAGATGACTTTGTAGGTTCTACCATACAAAGAGAGCCAGCGAGTTGTTGTTCTGCCTTCTTCTTTAGAAAATAGAGAATAACATGTATTTTTAATTCCTTTTCTGTTCCAACTCAGGTCACTTTGGATCTAACATCATGTTGCACCCAAATCCATAATGTTTGGAGTAAAAGCTACCCAACCTGTTCTCACAGTCCTGATTTCTACCCCTGACTAGGCATGGAACTTCTGAGAAAGCCAGAGAAGAGGATGCTCTCATATGAAGGCAAGGGAGAAAGGGACACCTGGCAGTCACTCCCATTTTCCGCCAGTATTATTGCAGCCAATTGAAGGTGTTTCATTATCTGAACCTACAGTGTTTTAACATCCAGTGATAAGAAAAACAATGAGAATAACAATCAGAACTGAGCTTGCTGACAGACTGTTATTTTATTCCAGGTTGGGTGGTGGGTAGTAATTATGTCTATGAAAATGACATGGTGATTTGGCTGCCTCAAAGAGTTTGGTGGAGGACTTACCTCTGACCCTGTCAGGCCTAAGATAAGGGTTCTGGTCCCTGAATAGAAGAGTGGCTTGCTAACCTTTTTCCAGAGATGTGAACATGGAAAGGTTGGAAAGGGAAAAATAAATGTTCCCACCTGTGTTCCTGTGAGCTGTACGAGGAGGAATGGAAAACAACTTACTCTAGTGGTCTTGACTTTATTGCCAGTTGCACACATCCATCCTGAATTGTCAGGTAATGTCTTGCATTCCTCACCCTCTAGGCAGGGCTCCATCTCACACCACCATTTCCCAATGACTATCGATGCTGAAAGAGAATGGACAAAGCATTGTGAATGGACTTTGCTGCTGCCATCATTTTACTTTGCTTCATGAAGAAGATCCTTCCCAAATGAACAGAGCTGATTCAGTCCTACACCAAATGCACATCCTTTAGTGAGGACTGAGAGCAGATCTGGCACGCTCCAATTGATGATAGGTCATCAGTCCACTTATGGGATAAAAAGACAGCATACAGTAAATGAGAAATCAGAAGAGCCACAGGGTAGAAAAGGAACAAAATCCACTATGAATGAAAAGGAAGGGACACGATACCTCTGAGACCAAGCAATGCAATTCAGATCAGAGGGTGCCATGTACAGGCTCCGTAAACAGATTTATGCTTAATTTATGTACTTTGCTGTTGGGAGAAACATCCTGTAGAATATGAAAAAAAAAAATCTCCCCCAGGCTCTTATTAATTCAGAGATTCTTTCTGTATTGGGAAATCTTTTTTATTCAGGTGAGCAGCGTTCTAAAGCATCGAAGGAGCCTTTACAAAGTGGGAAGTTTGTCTGCTGAGGATATTATAATTCTTTGTGAAGAGGTGAAATGAGCTATGTGAGATGACCTTATGGGTGGGGATAAACATATGCTCCCTCCAGGCCCTTTGGTATCCACCCTGATTGCACAAATAACAGCTGCCTAGGCCTACTGGGTGCCTTGCTCCTCTCACCAGTGTTGCGAGAGCCACACATTGTAGAATAAATTGGTTGAACATTGTATTATTTTATTGTAATGCTTTGGAATATGAAGGCTCACACTCTGGTATTGCCACTTGCAATTCTGAGAGCAATCTAAATAAGATAGTGTGCTATGGAAACCATGATACAATTTACAGCTTGTTTTGGGAACTAGATCCATTCTTTGCCAATATACCTTTGCCAATATATTTTTATCAGATAAGTTTTTTTTTTTGCATTATTTTGTATTAAATACATTGACAAGAAAGTGTTGCAAAATTGCTTGTACAAGAGATGGTGTAGTGCCTTAAAACCATATAAGGATTATTTAACTCCAAATAAAGAAATCCTGGTTCCTTCTGCATTTAGATGATACAGTGATGCCTACTGTGTTCCTACATAAAGGCTGATCTGCATATCCTGCTTGGCCCAGTAGAAGGTCAGCACCCTTACTGGGACCTTGATGTCATTTTCAACCTGTGTGTAGCCCACTGTGAAAGCAACTTGTACCCTCCACTCCATTTTATCTGACTCCATGTCAAAAGTAGTGTTTTCCAACCTTGGCTGGCAGAAGTGATGTTATTCAGACAGTCTGCTGTGCAGCATCTTGTTAAAGGCAATGCCTCAGCTCCAGCAGGCTAGTGTGTGCCTACTGACTATACAGATCCTTGTCCTCCATGGCCCATTCCCAT